GGCGGGGCTGGGAGCAGGAGAGGGCAGGACCACTGGGGGGGCACAGCTGTAGTGTCCTGCTGTCTTGGCCCTGGTAATAGACCCCTTTGCCTTTGGCCTGGGCTGGCCTTTGCCCTGCCCAGCACCGCCCTGCAGCAACCAGTCCTTGGCCCAGAGCCCCAAAGCTGGGAGCCTGGCCGATGACCTGCAGGGCCTTGCCGTCGCTTGGCCAGTGAGCAGCCCCTGCCAGCAGTGACACCTGGGAGCTAAGCCCAACCAAAGGGGGCTGCTGAGCTGGTGTGTAGCTTTGTAGACTGGGAGGCCTAACTCTCCCCAACTTCTCTGATCTGAGCCCTGTCAGTAGGGTCCTACCACATCCATGGCCATGTGAAATCTGGTCGTTGGTGTGCTTTACCCTATACCACACAGGGCAGACCAGCATTTCTCAAACTGGGGATCCTGGCCCAAAAGGGGGTTGCGGGGAGAGTTGTAAGGTTATTTTGGGGGGCCACCCTTATTTCTGCACTGCCTTCAGAATTAGGTGACCAGAGAGGCATGGCTGCTGCTTAAGGGCCCAGCTCTGCAGGCAGGAGCACAGAAGTGAAGGTGGCAACACCATACCTTGCCATCCTTCTGCGCTGCTTCTGCTAGCAGATTTGCCTTCAGAGATGGGCCCCAGCCAGATCTCTCACTGTCCAGCTCTGAAGGCAGCACTGTCACCAGCACAGAAGTAAGGGTGGAGGTACCACAACCCTCTCCCCCATAACTGCTTCTTGGATCAGGATCCCTACAATTACACCAGCGTGACATTTCAGATTTAAAAACCAAAGTAATAAAATTTACGATTTTTAATGTAAAATGGACCTTGAATTTGACAGGGCCCCATTTTTAAGTTGTGGCTGAGATTGTTGTGTTTCAGTGGGTTATAGCGTGGCAAGATGTCCAGACAATGGCATTTCTTAATTAGGTATGTTTCAGCTTTTTTCATATAGTTGTCAGTGCTGTCACTCTTCTATTAAATAAACGATGAATTTCATGATAATAAAAGTTATTTTTTCCTCACACTTATTTTCTGAACGCTTAAATTGTTTTGGCTCAAAAACATTCACCACCTGGAAATTCTCAGCCAGGAGCGTGAGCACTTTGGAAAGTTCTTAGCACTTGAAAAAAAGGGTTAGATTACAAGTGTTAGGGAATCGTAGCCACAGCAGTTGCTTGCTGTTCCATTAATACGTGTTTTTTCACTCATGGTTGATTTTCAACTTCAGGTGTAACCTCTCTAGTCTGGCACCCTTAGGACCTAACCAGTGTGGAACCAGGGGATTTGCTGAACCACGGGAGATCAGTATTGTCTAGCAGCATGACCAACACTTCCCCCACTTACTGGGCTCTTCAGAGACATTGAGGGGTAAATTAGAGCTAAATAACAGCACAGAACACTGAGCGCTGGGACTGGTGGCTGGAAACAAACTTTATCGGATGGCGGGAAACTTTGCCGCCCCCATGTGAAGTGGACATCTAGCTAACTAAAATCATGCTGTACTACAGGTGTCGCTGGGCTAGAGAGGTTCAACATACACGGGCCCTTGACGCTGCTGATCCACTGGTACAATCCAAGCTTCGTAAACGTGGGGAGGGTACGCTGCAGGCTCTGAGCTGTGTAATGTAGCTTTCAGGTTCCAGGGAAATCTCATTTTGTTCTTTTATTTGTAGGGATATCACCCCTTTGCTAAAGGATCCTATCGCCTTCGGGGCTATGATTGATATTTGGGAAGATCATTTAAAGACACGCTACTCTATGGTCGACTACATTGCAGGTGGGTAGCATGATAAACGTTTAGTGAAACATCTATGTAATACAGGCCAGAACAGTATTGTCCGTCCATACAGAGATTGCATGGTAAGCAAAGATCAGAAACAACCCCTTTAATGAGGCAGAAGAGATTGTATATCGTCATGGGATTGCAACATTATGACTGTTTATCATAATGTACCAAGCTACATAATACTAGAAGCTAGTGAGGTTGTATTAGTTGTGTGCTGCAGTTTTCTGACATGCTGTTTTGAGTGTTGAAAACACCCCCTCCATGAACATTTGGGAAGAACTGCCTTTATTTAAAACGATTTAATAGCAGTAAGCAGGGAAATAGCCAATGTAAGTGAATTACTGCATTGTCTTGCTTGTCTGTAACTTGCCATTAAGCCAGGACTAGGGCTATATTAAAAGAAAAGACACAAACCGCGTTTCCATTTTCTGCTTGTCTCAGGATGCCTGGTTTCAGACCAACTACAGCTGTTGTGTTCCTACTAACACATTGTTTAAGGACATGGACATGAGTACGGAATGGGAGAGGGATGATTTGACAGTAGCCCAGCATTGTTGAGTTTAGTGGACTCTGTTCAGTTCTTAGCGGCTGTAATCAGGATGGGTTTACAGGATGGGATACCATGTTTCTGGCCCTGCAGTTGAGTTGATATTGAGACTTAATTTCTTATCAGCACAGACAAGAACCAGTTTACAGACTAGTCGAGGGAGCTGCTAACATAGATACCAGTGTGATATATGTCAAAACGTCAGGTGGCATTTCATAGTCAGTCGGTAGGAATACAACCGTACGGTGGGAGTGCTAGTCAGTACAGAGAGCTGCTAGAACCCCCGAGTACAGGAAAGACTGAAACGTGGAACATTTGCAGAGAGTGTGAAAGCTGACTGGTTTCCCTTGGGTAACAGTGTTTTTGTTGCTCTGCTTCCTGTAGGTCTGGATGCCCGTGGTTTCCTCTTTGGCCCCGTTCTGGCACAGAGACTAGGGATTGGCTTTGTGTTAATACGAAAAAAGGGGAAGCTGCCGGGTCCAACCAAGTCTGTCTCATATGCCCTTGAATATGGCCAGGTAATAGCCAGAAGAGAACCGCTGGTGATTTGACAGTAACCCCATGGCAGTGGGTTTTGCGGACTCTTTTGAGTGACGAGTGGCTGTGAATTCTGCCAGAGAGTCTAAGGAAGGTCTTGTTTGCTGAGCTCACTGAGCTGCTTTGGGGCTCAGGGGATGGTAGTGAGGTGAAGCCCATCTAGCAGTTGGTGCTAGAGATTTTCCCCACCATTGGTCTGGAGCTCGTGATGAGACCCCAACATTGGAAGTCAGGAGATCTAAATCCCATGCTGGTTGTGCCCAGAGATTAGTCCCTGCATTGTAGAGGTGGTGTGAGGCTTAACAGAGTTACCCTGGCAAACTGTGTTGAGATCTTTGGAGAAAAGGTACTTAATCCAGACAACTATTCTGCAAGGCTTAAATCTGAGTGCAGGTATTAGTCATAAAAACTGCTGATTTTCAGGAGCGCAGGAATGACAGCAAACCCTGTGCTTCTGGAAGAAGGCGAGTGGCACAGGGAAGTGGAAAGAAGGGAGATTACATGAAAATAATCCATTACTTTTTCCCACTCTGGATTGTTTCAGTAAATGCTCCAGTCAAATGCTCTTTTTTTTTTTTTAATCGTTTAAAAGCAGGAAACACTTACTGCACAACAGGTTCATGCTATAGGGATGTAGAAAACCATTAAAAAAGGTCACCCGTTAACCGATATCATTTTGGTTAACTGTGGAGTGCTCCTTTGGGCCCGCTGTACCGTGGCTGGTGGACTGCTCTTGCTGGGCCCACTGCAAGCCGGCGGCTGCTCCCACCAGTTACTGGATAAGCATGCCAGCCAGGCTAATGCTTACCGAGTAACCAGTTAATCTTTTACATCTCTGGTTCGTGCCTGGGCCTGGTTGGGAGAGAGGCAGCATAGGCTTGATAATACAGTGTTAGCGAGCTAACTGATGCTGCTGAAGGCGTGGCAGGTGAACACTATTGAGGTAAGCCCTCCCTTGCACAATGAAAGTTCTGTCGTAGTCACAGACTTTGCATGGGTTAGTCCGTATGTGGAAGGGGATCATGTCCCTGGGAGGATAGAGAAAAGGTGCTTTCGTGGCCTGCTGCATATATAGAGACGCCCTAGGGCTGAAACCCAGGACTTTCTTCAACCAAGCCAGGTAAACAGGATGAAGTTTAAGAAGGACAAATGCAAAGTGCTCCACTTAGGAAGGAACAATCAGTTTCACTCATACAGAATAGGAAGCAACTGTCTAGAAAGGAGTACGGCAGAAAGGGATCTAGGGGTCATAGTGGTCCACAAGCTGAATATGAGTCAGCAATGTGATGCCGTTGCCAAAAAAGCAAACATGATTCTGGGATGCATTAAGAGGTGTGTGGTGAGCAAGATACGAGAAGTCATTCATCCGCTCTACTCTGCGCTGGTTAGGCCTCAGTTGGAGTATTGTGTCCAGTTCTGGGCACCGCATTTCAAGAAGGATGTGGAGAAATTAGAGAGGGTCCAGAGAAGAGCAACAAGAATGATGAAAGGTCTAGAGAACATGAGCTATGGAGGAAGACTGAAGGAATTGGGTTTGTTTAGTTTAGAAAAGAGAAGATTGAGGGGGGACATGATAGCCGTTTTCAAGTATCTAAAAGGGTGTCACAAGGAGGAGGGAGAAAACTTGTTCATCTTGGCCTCTGAGGACAGGACAAGAAGCAATGGGCTTAAACTGTAGCAAGGGAGGTTTAGGTTGGACATTAGGAAAAAGTTCCTAACTGTCAGGGTGGTCAAACACTGGAATAAATTGCCCAGGGAGGTTGTGGAATCCCCATCTCTGGAGATATTTAAGAGCAGGTTAGATAAATGTCTATCAGGGATGGTCTAGACATTATTAGGTCCTGCCATGAGGGCAGAGGACTGGACTTGATGACCTCTCGAGGTCCCTTCCAGTCCTAGTGTTCTATGATTCTATACATCCTAGGCCAGTGTATTACATACAGGGATTCCAGTCCCATCCAAGGGGCTGTTCTGGGAGAGAGAATACAATGTGGTTTCCTGGAGCTCAAGGCCCGTGGGTGCTGAAAGTCAGGATTTCCTTGATGAATGTGATGTCTGCATCTGGCACCATCCTAGCCTTTTCTACACTAGACTAGAATCAAGCTGCCTTCTCAATCCTGCAGGCTGAACTTGAGATCCAGAGCGATGCCTTGAAACCAGGGGAGAAGGTGATCCTTGTTGATGACCTGCTTGCAACCGGAGGTAAGGGCAGCCACGCAGTTACGTCTGCTGCATGTGTAGCTGGCCGTGCTTAGCCTCGCGCAGGGTGCTTTCTGCTGAAGCTGTTTTCAAGAGGATGGAACCTGTTGATCAAAGTGGGCTTGGGACTTTACGGGGAGAGGGATGCAGCCGTTCGGAAAGTTCAGTAAAACCACTGCCCCGAGGTCTGCTGGAGTCTAGCTCGGTCATGTCATTCTCCATTGTCTTGTTGGCTTTTCTCTGCGGTGCCTCTTCGCTTTCTGCAAATGGAAAGGGACCTGTTTGCGTCACGCTGTGCTGCTTGTAACCCTGTGCTTAGCGGTGGTTTCAGGTTGGAACCTGTGTGCCGTACTGCTTGTAACCCTTGGAGTGACTGTATCTCTCTGCTTCGTGTCCCGTTGTGCAGGTACCATGCGTGCAGCCTGCGAGCTGATCGAGAAGATGAAGGCTGACGTCCTAGAGTGCTCGGTGGTCATAGAGTTAAAATCTCTGCAAGGGGCAGAAAAGCTGAAGCCCGTTCCCGTCTACTCTCTGCTGCAGTATAACTAACGATCTTCAGACCGGAGAATGCTGCTGTGTTCGGATCACAGCTGCCTTCTCACTGGAGAGCTGCGACGGTGTCTCACCTCAGACAATTGCTTGAAGGCAACAGGTGCTAGAACTGTGTGTTTTCAGGGCGGGAGGAAGGGGAGCTGTGGAGAATACTGTCCTGTGTGTGTGTCCCACTGTTTCCTCGAGAGAGAGTAAAACAAGCTTGGATTTCCACGTAGATGTGGGGCTGGTGCGGTAGCAGACCTGCTTCTGGTTGTTTCCCCCCATTAAAATGGCCTTTTAGAGAGCTCGGTGTGTGAGTGGTGCTGCTCGGGGTCGGGGTGAACTGGATGGAGAACTGAGGTGATGCATTTTGTGGGACCGGGGCTCGCTTTTGGCTTCGTCCCAGGATCAGCAGTGCCGGGCTGAGACGTTGATGGTGGTGAACGAGTAGAGAACGACACGTTGTATGTGGCTTCCGAAAACGGGCTGTCGCGTTCCCGGCTTTTCTTTGGGGCACTGCATGCGTGGGTGGCCTTTCCTGGCAGTGGAATGGGTTGCTCACGTGGGAGAGGCAGGAACTGCCGATGAGTCATTACACCCACCCCTCCCCAGCCTTCTGAAAAGGAGAGGAAACGGTTCCCCCATCCCAGCAAGGGCAGCGAGGCCCCCCATGCTCCAGCTCATAGACTGACTCCTCTGTCCATGCCGCCTTACTCTGACCGAGCTGAAGGTGATATAGTGAGGGGGAACTGCCATTGAGCCAGTCTCCTGTTTAGCTTTTCCTGTGGACGGCTCCAGCGGTGGATTTGGTGAGAAACGAGGAAGGGTTTGAGATTTCCTTGCGGTTGGGAGGGAGGAATCGGTTCCTCTGTCAGTGAACACGAATGTGCTGTTGGACTTTGGTACGATGCCCCCTTTTACTGCAGCTACATGCTCGGGTTACAGCTGGGCTGCCAGTGCTGAGAACGGAGCACACTGGCAATTTCAGCATAAGGAATGGGTGCAAGCCCCCAGGTTATCATGCTCCTCCTACTTCAGACAAAACATGCTTCTTTTTACTGGCTCCCTTCTACAGATAGTAACTTCCTTCAGCTCTGCCTTTGTAACCCATACGAACGGCCAGACTGGCTCAGACCAAAGGTCCATCTGGCCCAGTGTCCTGTCTGACGACAATGGCTTATACCAGATGCCCCAGAGGAGTGAACAGAACAGGTAATCCCTCCCCTGTCACCCACCTCCAGAGTAACAGAGGGTAGGACACCATTCCTGCCCATCCTGGCTAATAGCCAGGGCTCGACAAATCGCTGTTTCTACTTGCCCGTGGTGAGTAGATTTCAGCCGGTCGCCCCGTTCACTGGTGCTGCGCGTACGCGCGGTGCGGGGCTGGCGAGTAGATCTCGCCGCGGTTTGTCAAGCCCGGCTAAGTTTTTCCGGAAAAACTTGCCAGCTGTCTACACTGGCCGCTTGAATTTCCTCAAAAGCACTGACTTCCTACTGTCTGAAATCAGTGCTTCTTGCGGAAATACTATTCTGCTCCCATTCAGGCAAAAGTCCTTTTTGCACAAAGCTTTTGTGCAAAAAGGCCAGTGTAGACAGCTCAGATTTGTTTTCTGCAAAAAAGCCCCAATGGCGAAAATGGCAATCGGGGCTTTTTTGCGGAAAAGCGCGTCTAGATTGGCCACGGACACTTTTCCGCAAAAAGTGCTTTTGCGGAAAAGCGTCCATGCCAATCTAGACGCTGTGTTCCAAAAATGCTTTTAACGGAAAACTTTTCCGTTTGGCATGATTTTCCGGAAATGCTTATCTAGATGCAGCCAGAGTGTTTGCCTTATTGTAGCTAATTGAGGCCACAATACAGCAACTCAGCCATGTACATCAAAGGAAAAGCTACAATGCCTTCTCCGGTAGGGTTTTACAGTGATTGGTAACGCCCCTTCGGAATCTACCTCTGTGCAGAAAACTCTCCTTGGAATGACACTGAGAGTGTCTTTTCCTGTTGGGCTCTGAGCAGAGAGCACTAGACATCAGTCTTACCGAGGGGAAGGTTGGAGTATGTCTCTTGATAGGAGCATTGCTACTACCCAAAGGGTCAAAAAGGATGGTCTTAATTTGCCTTTGAGCCTCTAGGGGTCAAGTTTCCAGCTTTTTCTTGTATCTGGGAGCTAGAAACCTGAGACTGTGGTTTGAGCCTGTGTTTGTCAGGATGTCCTTTCAACTCGCAGGTGGCAGGACAAGGGACTTGCTCAGACACCACAAAGGATTGTGAGCTAAAGTCAGGCCAGGCTTATCTACCGCATGTCATGCTTTCCTACTCTTACTTGCACAGCAGAATGGGCTTTGTTGTGTTACACCAGTGGGCTCAGCCCTTTTAAGCAGGAGGTCATTTTTTAAAGTGCAATCCAGGATCTACCTCAACCCCAAGTACCCTGGCCTCACCTCCTTTGGGCTCTTTCTCCAAGACCCTGCCCCTCCCAGCCTCCCTCCCTTTCATCAGGCAGGGGTAGAGAGTTGGGGTGCAGGCTCTCATCTTGGGTTAAGGGATTTGGAGTTGCTGAGCCCGGGGCAGGGAGTTGGGGTGCAGCAGAGGGTTCTGGGTACAGGCTCTGTAAGGAAGTTTGGGTCTGGGGCAGGGCTCGGCAGGGACTTGGGGTGCAAGAGGGGGTTTGACTGGGGTAGGGGTTCAGGATGCAGGCTCCAGCTGGACACTGCTTTCCACAGGTGATACAGTGGGGCTAAGGCAGATTCCCCCCTGCCCTGGTCCTGCACCCCTCTCCAAAGCAGCCAGCAAACTCCCTCCATCCCAAGCCCTGTTGAGGATCCCACTCTACTGCTTGGTGCCTAGTGGGTTACACAATGGCTACGTCTGCACTGGCATGATTTTCTGCAAATGCTTTTAACGGAAAAGTTTTCCGTTAAAAGCATTTGCAGAAAAGAGCATCTAGATTGGCACACTTTTTCACAAAAGCACTTTTTGCGGAAAAGCGTCTGTGTCAATCTAGATGCACTTTTGCGCAAAAAAGCCCTGATGGCCATTTTCGCGATCGGGGCTTTTTTGCGCAAAACAAATCTGAGCTGTCTACACTGGCCCTTTTGCCCGAACAGGAGCAGCATCGTATTTCTGCAAGAAGCACTGATTCCTTACATGAGATTGTCAGTGCTCTTGCAGAAATTTAAGCGGCCAGTGTAGACAGCTGGCAAGTTTTCCCACAATGCTTTTGTGGAAAAACTTGCCAGTCTAGACACAGCCAATGTGTGTCAGCACCGAGTGCTCGCTTCTGCTTGTGATAGCGATCAGATTCAGGAAGCTGCTACTAAGGCATAGAGGCCAGTCAGGCTGTAGCTGCCCCCACTCCAGGTGAGAGAACAGAGCTGCTCCCACTTTGCAGCTAGAACCAAGCAGTAACTCCCTCTCGTGGTACCCAAGGCAAGGAAGACTCATTCCTCCAGGCACCGGTGAGGTACTCCCCCAGCCAACAAAGACCCTGCTAGTACAGCCCCAAGTGCGTAGGTTTAGGATCTGCCCTTCTTGAGGCCCTCTCAGACTTGTAACAGGGACCACCCAGAAGAGGGTTCTACCACCAGGAGCTTGATGGTCTGATGTCACCGGACATTGTGAATGTGGTTGATGGACCAACAGGGGGAACAGGCAGGGCTGCCAGCCTTCCAGAATCAGCATGATCTCAAAAACAAGCCCTGCGATTAAGGAGTGACATTACTTCATGGTGGAAAAAGAAATCAGACAGCCGAGTCGAGGGCGTGCTTCACTTGTGCCAGCTCCATTCATGCTGCAGTTGTCAAAAGCTGTGAGCAATCCCCTTCTCTTAAAGGCCTGATTAGGTGCTGCCCCTCGCTCTCTGGCTGGACAGAAGCTACATTCATTTCTCTGCAAACCCTGCTCATTTTTTCCAAGAACTCATTTGCACGCATTGGCTGACGACCCAGCTCTTCCCCCTCCTCGTAATTCCCACGGTCCTGCTGCAGATGCTTCAGCGCCTACCCCTGGAGTTAAGGAAGCCTGAAGCTGCCCCTGGGTAAGGCAAGAGCATTCTCTCGCAAGTAGGCAGCGCTGCTTCTGGCAATTTAAAAAAGTTTAATAAACACATTTCAACAATATGTACATGGAGTCAAACATGGCCCAGGTGCACTTCCCTGCCCCCCCAGAGCAGAACACGTTAAAAACAGCCCCCAAAGGAAATCCCATGTGTCTTATTCCTGCTTGCTTATGTGGCCCCACAGCACCCTCAGCGACTGGAAGGTGTCTCACTAATTCCCTTGAATAAGGTTCCTCTTTACATAGTTATTTGGGGGAACAGGGGTGTAGCTTATGTAACTTCAGCCATGCCATGGGAGAGGCTCAAACACACCTTCCACTGTGGCCCTGGGCAGTTTTATTTGTTGTACTAAGTTACTAGGGTAACTAAACAGTCAGCTTTAAAAAGGGGGAGCAATTGAGGCAGGAAAGCCAAACGCAGCCTCCTGCTGGGGGAGGGCATGCAGAAGTGACCATAACGCTGATCTTCCTGTTTGAAAGGAAAGGGAGTTGCCCAGGTCTGTGCCAAAGCAACAACTTAAGATCAAAGTGGCTGTTTTATTTGTTGTACTAAGTTACTAGGGTAACTAAACAGTCAGCTTTAAAAAGGGGGAGCAATTGAGGCAGGAAAGCCAAACGCAGCCTCCTGCTGGGGGAGGGCATGCAGAAGTGACCATAACGCTGATCTTCCTGTTTGAAAGGAAAGGGAGTTGCCCAGGTCTGTGCCAAAGCAACAACTTAAGATCAAAGTGGCTGGTCTACCTAGGTTTCCCAAGCATAGGTAGAAGCCAGTGAAGTCACCAGCAGCACCATGCAGAGTTCTCTGCACCAGCTGTGCTACATTCCAATCAAGATCTCACACCCAGTCCCGTCCATCCCTCCTTCCTCCTCCCCCCTCCAGGATCAGAGCTTTTCCTCCTCTTTGGTCAGCCGGGCCAGCCTCTCCATAATGATATTGAGGTCCGTGCTCTTGTCCAGCTTGATGTAGGTGTCCTTCCGGATCGGATGGATGCTGACCCAGTCAGGCAGCAGCTCCGAGAAGAGCCGTAGATGTTTCTCCATTTCACCTGCACAGAACCAGAAGCGATCAGCAAGTTAGTGTCAAACAGCTTCCCCTAGCGGTCAGCACATGGGCAGCTGTTCTGGCTTCTGCTTTCTTCGCAAGGCCCAGAACCAGGGTGCTGGAATTCCTCCCAGCAATTGGTTCCAGGCTTTGAGCTTAGACGGCCCTTATATGGCTGTGCTTGGCACTGCTGGTATATAGGTAGGGAAACCCTATAGAGGTGTTCCCACTCCTCTCTCCATCAGATTACAGCTGTTATTTTGGGGTTTGGGCTACCCCAGAGTTCCTCTTGCATGCTGGGAGCTACGGAACACACAGCCAAGCAGATGTAGGGGTGTCAGCACCTACACTGGGAGCATTTGAGGGGAGCAGGCTGGCGAAGGCTAGACCCTGGATTTCCAAGACAGGTCTTAGGGAGACGTCTGCGAGGGGTGACCCTGTTAGTCTGTATCTACAAAAACGAGGAGTCGAGGGTACATTCCTCAAAATAAGCTCTGCAATTTGAGCTATGTAAATTGCGTAGCTTATTTTGAAGTTTGATGCCATCTACACAGCGCTAATTTTGAAGTAAAACACTATGCCAGCGTCTCCCTTCATCCTCGTGCAACGAGGTTTACAGCAGGGGTGGCCAACCCATTAAACAAAGAGCCAAAACGGTGGCGGAAAAAATGCGACTAGCCCTGCCAGAATTGTTGAGCCCCCCCCCCAAAAGTGCTCCCCACCGCTGCCCCTTTAAAAACTGTGGGTTAGGCTTTTTTGGCCATATCAGACTCCCATCGGTCACCACGTTGGACAGCTCCCCTGTACCTGGTGAGCACAGGGAGCCAGGGGCTGTTTATAGGGGCACACGGGGCGGGGTCAAGGGCCACACTCTTCCATGATATTAATGGAGATGTGGGTCTGGGATGGAGGTTGGGCTTCAGGAGGGAGACTGGCGTCTGGGAGGGAGTTTGGGTGAAGGAGGCGATTGTGACCTAGGGCAGGGGACTGGGATGCAGGGGGTTGGGTTGTGCTCTAAAGGGGGGGCTTTGCAAGCCGCACTTTCAGGGCTGAAGAGCTGCATGCAGCTCATGAACTGCGGGTTGACGGGGCCCCACACTTCCACGATATGAATGGAGGAGGTGCGGGGTCTGGGATGGAGGTTCGATGCCGAACGGAGCTTGGGAGAAGGGACTGGGGTGCAGGAGAGAGGGGAGTCTGGAAGGGAGTTTGGGTGGAGGCGGCGGTTGTGACCTAGGGCAGGGGACTGGGATGCAGGGGGTTGGGTTGTGCTCTAAGGTAGGAGGGGCTTGTGATCTGGGGCAGGCAGTTGGGGTGCCAGATCTGGGAGGGGGTATGGGTGCAGGAGGGGGGGCAGAGGGTTTGGGTAGGTTGAGTGGAGGGGGCAGAGGGTTAGAGAAGAGAGGGGCTGGGGTGTCAGAGGCAGACTCTGGCCAGGAGACTTACAAACCAGCAGCCAAACCAGCTTGCCTGTCTGCAGAACCTATGAATATGAGGCTTACAATAATATGGGAAAATGTCTTTCAATCTTAATCTTTTTTTGAGCCAAATAGTGGAAAACTTTATTTTAAATAACCTTTACTTGTGAATGAAGAAATGCCCAGACTGACATACTCAACAAAACTGGCTAACAGTTATTCCTGATAACATGAAACAACCAACCACAAACATTTCCCTGTAAAAAGTTAATGTTTTCTTTCATAGCCTCATTGAAGTTTCCTGTGGAAAAGAGTAAATAATGAATGCAGTGTTTTAAAAATGACTTTATCAAGTCTTAAAAGATCAACAGCCCCGCCACCACTTTTCAGAGCAGTGTGCGGACAAGCAGAGGAGCCTTCCTGGGGCTCCCCACTGCGTCTGCAGCCCACGGGCCGTATTTTCCCCAGGCCTGTCTTAGAACCTCCCCTGCCAGAGGCAACCCCTCCCCGCCCAGTCCCCCCAGTACCAGATGTCATGGAGGTGCGGTAGCTGTCCGTCATCCGCGTACACGCCACCTCCACTGTCAGCGCCTGCTTCTTCTCAGCCACGAAGACGTTGCGTAGGAGGCGGGCCATCTCGGGCAGCCGCGAGATCATGAGGAGCCGCTCCTCCTGCTGCGGGTTTCGGGTCATCAGCGCCTGCAGCTTCTGAGCCTCCTTTGCTCTGATCTAAGGGAAGAATTAACGAGGGGGGGGGGTCAGATGCCCGCCAGGCTCCCACTTGCCAGGGCCACTCCCTTCCCAGGCACAAGTGACTCACCCTCTCCAGCAGGGCCTGGGACACCCCTCTCAGGGCACTGGAGGAATCGGCTGTGGGTGCGGCTGTGGGGGCCTCGTGCTCTCCTGGGCTGGTTCCAGCTGTTCTGAGTGCCAGGTTGGCAAGAGCCTTTTCCATCTGTCCAGGCGGAGGAGAGTCAGAGGTCACAGGGGCTCTGCCAGGCAGGCCCAGGGGGCCCACGCTTGCAGTGTGGGAGGGGTCCCAACACCCAGTTCGAGCTCCGGGCCTTTGACCCGCAGCAGGGCAGTTTCACGCGGAATGTTGTGCCCGGGAAGCGTGTGCTTGAGCGTTCCCGCGACAGGCTCACAGGACCAGGTGAGAGCACCACAAGCTCACCAGCCGACACATCTCCAGCCCGTACCTTTGGGGTCATCATGCTCCGGGCCTTGGTCAGCACCTCCTGGGCTGTGGTCAGCTTGTCCACCTGCGGGGGCTGGGGCAGCTCCGCCGGCGGGACGTCCGGCACCTCGTCCACACGGAAGCGGGGGTGCCACCTGGTCAGCTTGCCGTCTGGGACCACCAGCGGGGGCTGCAGGGATGCCAGGAACGCCTGGAGCGAGGGGAGTTGTGAGTCAGGTGCTGCAAGTCATACACCCAGCAGAGTCGGACTGTGTTAGCGTGAGCTAGAGCCGCTGCCGTGCTGTGCTCACCGGACACTGAGCTACGCCACGGTTACGAGAAACCAACGCCAGGAGAGCCCAGGACAAGTCTCCCCCATTAGGAAAATCTTGATCCTCAGTGTTATTGTTTCAGACCCTCTGCTCTCCCTGCCTCGCTCCACAGACAGCGCTTTGGCGGGCCCACCACGTACTTTGATTTGGGACCCCAGGCTCCTCCGTTAACTGGACTCTTATCTCTGCCTCTAGCGATCACCCGTCTCTGGGGCATTCCCAGGCCCCTTGGGGTGAAAGCCAGCCAGGCCCCCAGGACGGAGCAGGGCACACCACCGCACACCGGGGAGCGCTGAACTGGAGATGTTTGGAAGGAGCCGACTGTGCACCCAGTCTCCCCAAAGAGCCAAGCCACTCGCCTGGTGATGCTGCTTGACGATGTTCACCAGGTTCCTGTTGAACACCCTGCGGCGCTCCAGCAAGCGTGATGCTGACAAGTGCGGGCGGCCGTCCACCTTCTCCTCTAGAGACAAGAGGTGCCATCATTAGTGCCAGGGAAAGCGGCCGCGGCACCCCAGCGTAGGGATGTAATCATGTAGTCGATTAATCAATTAACTGATAAGCAAAAGCTTATCAGGTCACGCTACAGACCACACACGTTCCCCCCACCCCGCCCGCCAGGACAGTTTTTAGCAGGCTGGCCAGCAGCCCAGCTCAGTCCTGGCTCGCGCTGGGTCCAGGTCCTACCCCTGCTGTGGCTCTGCATTTAAAGCATTTTAGGAGCCGGGCAGCCCAGCTCAGTTCTTGGCCCAGGAGCTCAGATCCCCCACTAGACGGGGCTGCTGCCACCCCATGGTTTTTAAACCAGCTTCCCTCACAGGCCAGTTCCCACCTGGCAGCCTGCACTGCTGCCTCGGATACAGATACAGCAGCGTGGGGAGTGGGGCTAGATCGCACTGGCTGCCAGCCCCACCCGAGGGCTATAGAATAGTGAGTGATCGAGATAGGAATTCGTGAGCTTAATCAACTCTTCAATTAACTGATATTTAACATCCCTAGCGCAGATCTGACACCCCGGCACGGCCGCAGCTGTACGGAGGGGGGCATGAAGCAATTCTGCTCCGAGATAAGAGCGCCTTCTCCACTGCGTGGGAGGCAGCCGGCTGCCCCTACCTGCGGCCTGCAGCATCCCAGAAACTAGACAGCAGCTCCGGATGAGCACCCGGCTCCAGCAGAGCCAGAACTGGGAGCGCCAGGACAGGCGGCGTCCCAAGCCCAGTTTTGGGGGAACCCCTGAGAGGGTCACAGGTCTACTGCTAGGCTGACAGTTTCACATGCCGGACCCACTGCGGGAACAGGGAACAGCCGTTCCCCACATCGCCATCCCACTCGGAGCCAGCCAGGCAGACCGCCTCAGCCGGATCCAACCCGCAACCCCGTTTGGGGAAGGTTTCCAGAGCCTCAGACACCCTTTCCCAACAGGCTCCAGGAGGGAGCCCGTCCCCAGCCTGCCGGCAAGGGCTCCGAGCAGAGGGCAAGCTGCCGCACGTACCTTCCCCCAGCACTGGCTCTATGGTGAGCTGGTAGCTGGATTTCTTCAGGAAGCTGCTGAAGGTTGGGATGTTCTTCTCCTGGCGGAACTTGTACGACGTGGGGTACACGGCTTTGATCTGGCCCACGTTCCGCTCCTCAAACTGCCTGAGGCATTGCAGGAAGAGTCAAAACAAGGACCCACGCCGACACACACGTGCAGCGGCAACAAGCGCTTCAACTCAGGGGCCCCGTGCAAACCAGAGCAGCAGGGGTCCCCCGGGGATCCGACTCCCATGTGGCAGACTCCCTGCCTGCAATACGCATGGGAATCAACAGCGAGAGACAACAAGCTTCTGGTTAAAGAGCAGATCCTGGCCTGGGAGGTGCTCTGAGCACAAGTCTGGGAGCCAAGGGCTCTCCAGGGCTACTCCCAGTCTTGACACTGGCTTCCTCTATGGCCTTGGTCAAGTCATTTAGTGCCTGTGCCTCAATTCTGCTCTCTCTAACACGGAGAGTCAGGATTTTCTCCTGTGACGGGAGAGACAACAAGCTTCTGGTTAAAGAGCAGATCCTGGCCTGGGAGGTGCTCTGAGCACAAGTCTGGGAGCCAAGGGCTCTCCAGGGCTACTCCCAGTCTTGACACTGGCTTCCTCTATGGCCTTGGTCAAGTCATTTAGTGCCTGTGCCTCAATTCTGCTCTCTCTAACACGGAGAGTCAGGATTTTCTCCTGTGACGGGAAACAGGTTTGTAAGAGATGCAAGAGAGGCTACATTTAATTCAGTAAAGATTGAGTGTCACTCCCCACGCTCCAGCCTAGTTTTCCTTGTGCTGGCATCCGAGACGCCTCCCCCACCGCAGGGGCACCGCGATTCTATTCCATCCAGAATGTCACAGTTAACCAGAAGAGGGGCACCCTCTCCCCCTTTTCAGCAGGTCCCTCTCCGAGGGCTTGGGAAGTTTGCATAAGAAAGCACAAGCCCCAGCCTCCTTCAGTGCTGCCCAGCGTGCATCTGCTTTGTACGCGGCACAAGGACGAAAATACCGACAGCGCCTGGTGCAGTTACAGCGAACGCGGATCTCGGCTACAGCGATTCCTCACCTAAGAGGAGGCACTTACTTGCGCATAATGTCCTGGACACCCTGTTTGACCTTGGCAAAGGTTACGGTCTCCGAGCGGTTGAAGAGCATCCCCACCACGGTGTCCATGCTGCGGAACATCTCTGCCAGCACCTTGTACTTATAGGGCAGAGTGAGGCCGGGGGGACCATCCTGAGCAAGGGTGTGGAATCGCTCATAGGCAGGTGCCTTCTCGCTGCCAGGGATAAGCAGGAATTAGACCCACAAGAAGTAGCTTCAACATGAGGTTAAGAGCAGGTGTTTGGGAGCTTGCGGGTGCACAGACTGGCACTTGGCTTGCTACTCAGGAAGCAGGGCAGTAGCGAAGCCTGGCAGCAGCCAGTGTGGTAGAAATCTCCAAGTCAGTGCTGATGTGACGACTGGATGTTCGTACAATCCCCATCCCCAGCGATATTTTGCCTCTACGTTCTCCAAGGATGGGGAATGGCTAGATGAGCTGAAAAGGTCCAGCTCGAATTTGAAGCGGCAGAATCTTTTCCCACCCATTGCAGTAGCAGTAAGATCCACGCGAGTTTCATCCCATGGTCACTAGCGCACCTCTGTAGCGCATTTGTCAAGTGACCCTGCCTTGCCCCACCCACACCGTGGAAACAGAGACGCCCTCCCTCTTTTGCTGTCCACACACCTCTCAGGGAGCCTTCTCCCATGCCAGGTTAGGGCGCCCGGGAACAGACGTTCTCAGAAATAGCCTAGTTTCCGGCCCGGTAGCATTGGCTCACATGCACTGTGCGCAGGCTTCTTTCTGGCACAGACGTGTCCAGGCTCCGAGTCTAAAGATCCCCTATGCTGAACCCCAGCTACGGGATATTAACATCAGAAACGTGGATGATTGAGACCCCACTGGAGTGCAGCAGCATTTTGCTACCCAAGTGTCTTGTTCTACATTCTACCTCTGCCTGATAGGTGGTGATTAGCCCTTCAGGACAGCCAGAGCAGCAATACTTCCATCAGCACCGACTATGGCAGTTACTGGAAACCCAGGTGTACGGTCCCCGAGCTGCTTTCAGCACCAGCTTAAACACACCCTGAAAGGGACATTGCTATTCCTGCCATCCTCAAAGGTGGTTTCTTACCTGAGTTCCGCGGCTGGCTCACAGGTCTCTTTGGCCGGCTGCAGCCCCGATTCCTTCCCCTCCTCTGCCTTCCTGTTGCGGATTTTGGAGCCTAGCTCCTGCACTTGCTTCAGGCGACTCTTGAGGTCAGTGCAGGTCTCGGAGGGGCAAGCTGGCAGTTTGGCTTTCCGAGTCAGGGCGTGGAGTCTCTGCAGGCGCTGTGTCAGCTCCTTGCTCGAAACCTGCGATAGGGAGCGGGGCAGTAACAGGGGCAGGAGGAGACGACTGTTTACAAGCGATGCTCGGAGGGGGTTGGAAGGTTAGCACAGCTCCAAGAGCCAAGCGGGAGGGGGTTTCCTATGACCCATCAAGCCACTTCGGCGAGTCAGCAGAAGGGCACAAGGCGGTGGAGCCCCTTCCCAGTCTCAGGGCGACAGCTGCTCTTGCCATACCTGCTTAAAGCTTATGTTTCCCTCTAGAGCAGCCAGGCCAGACGGCAGCCCGCTCTCCGGACCTGGGGAGAGAGTCACGTTCACCAGGTTCTTCACCTTCTTGTCAAGGGAGGATGGGGTTGGAGGTCGGAGGGCAGCCGGGGAAGAGAGGCTGGAGACCTGCAACAGGAATTAGATTGGTTTGCCCTCGCTGTCTGGCTGGCACTCACCAAGGAGTCTCCCTGACTTAGGGGACGATAAACCTTCTAGCTAGGAGCCACCAAGTCAAAGTCGGATTTTCTAATACCCGGCGGTGAATCCAAGGGGGCTGAGCAGTGTGGTGCAGGCGCAAAACCCCAGGGAACAGGCGGCCTGGGTTCGTTGACTCCCCGCCTCCAAACACACTCTAGTTCAGCTCCACGAGGCTTTGCCGCATCCAAAGTCCTAGCATCGAGGGGCCACCACCTGCCACCGGCAGGGTCACTGCCCTGGTCAGAGCAGATCTAACCTCTGCAGTGCACAGAATACCAGCCCTGCCTACACTCGCTCCCAGCGTCCCTCCCACCAGCGTGAGGGCAGAGGAAGAATCCCCGAGGAGCCCAGCAATCCGGGTTTATTACAAACTCATTGCTGGGCGGGGAGGTGCCTGTTTGCCTCAATGGGGTGTGAAGCAGCAGAGCCCAATGGCGGGTCACCGTTTCCCTGCAGAGCCCAGGGCGCTGGGATTCCAGGCGCCAGATTGTAAAGAGGAAACTCATCAAATTCATCTCGCAGCTATTTTTGTCACTGG